TCCCGCCGTCGTGACCATACGGAGCGCCTGGGCTGCCGTTTCCAACTCCTCGAAAGGCTTGGGTGCCGGTGGCGGTGCTGGCTCGGGAACTCGTAATTGAGGGCACGCTTGCTCCAGCAAATCCATCTGCTCCTTGTTGTTGCCGTCCTTGGCCGCTTTGTACTGATCTGCGAGGAGGGCGACCAAGGCCTGGGTCTGTGGATTTGGCGGGGCTGTCCCCGTCGAGATGCTTGACCACGTCGTTCCACACTTTGCGCACTTGGCCTTGTCAGCGATACGGTCACAATAGATCCAACTGCTGCCGACAGGAAAGCAAGTGCTACACACCACAAAAGGCCTCCTCTTCCCGCCCTGGTACTCTTTCTTCGAACGTGAGTGCGATCGAGCTCTGCTAGCCGCTCGACCTCCATCTTTCCAGGGCGGGCGCGTTCCTCCCTTGTTTGTCTCGTAGCCGTCGTCGTTCTGCTGCGACTTCTGCCACACCTCGAAGGTGTGCCCCTCAAGCCGCGAGCGCGCCTCGCCACCTGCAGCAGGGCAGGCACGGCGGACGCGCGGCGCGCGCGCAACAGTGGGCCCGTTGGATCTGCTCCCCTGCAAACCTCTCGGGCCCAGATGCTTGAGCGGGGAGGAGGGGAGGAAGGGGAGGAGGGGAGGGAGGAAGGGAAGGAGGGGAGGGAGGAAGGGGGGAAAGCACGAGCGAGGAGCCAAGAGAAGGGCGAGGGAAGAGGGCGAGAAGGGTAGCGCGCGGGGAATGCTGGCGTGGCCGTCAAGACGTGCTGTACTGACGAGAGGGGAGCGAGGAGGGGATGAGCCCAGCATCTCGTCGTCGTCGGCATCCCCCATTCTCGCTCCTCCCAGCTGATTATCCCTCCATGTTAGTACTCCTATTCCTCCTCGCCCTCGCTCCTCCCAAATGCTTTCCCCTTGATGCTAATATTTTGTCGTCGTCCTCAATCCTCGTCCCTCCACTTCCTGAAATCCAGCCGCCGCTTCCGAGGGCCTCCTGCTCACCCCGCGCAGCCCTCCTTGTGCCTGGCAGTAGACGCTCCGTGCCCAAAACGGTGAAAAAACAGTGCCCATCTGCTCTGCGCACTCGAGGTCGGCCTCTGGCGTTACACAATCCGCTGCCGGGACTCACGGGCTTCTGGCCACAGCGCACATCGGCCACGCCCAGGCTCCCTGGCCTGAGGGGACGGAGCAGCCCGGACACCGGAGCCCCCTCCTGAGCCCAAGCGGCTCCTCGTGTAAGCGTCTTGACTGTCTGGAAGCCCAAACTGACTACCTACCAAACCACCCCAACCCAACCCGAAGACCCGAATTTGACCCGAAGTTCGGGTTGGGGGGGGGTTCGGGTCCCATATGTGTTTTTCCAATGCTCCCCGACCCCCCCCACACTGGAAATGGAGGGCAGATTGAGGCTTTCGGGTTTTGTTTGGGTGGTTTGGTGGGTGGTGACAGACTGGGACGCGCTCCAAGGAAACCGCGTGCATCTTGGGGCCCCTTGTCGGGCGGCACTGCTGGTCGCGGCTGGGCCTTGTATGCTGCACCCTGCCAGCGGGTAGTTTGCCGCGCGCGCCCCTCGTTCACAGTCCACTGTTGATGGCCTCTGCTCTCCCCAATCGTCTGCTACGGGGCACTCCGGGACCACTCTGGTAAGCGACCGCTGCGGTAAGCGCACTGCCACTCGACTACTCGACGCGGAGATCCCCGTATGTACGTCTCATACGCCTGTCACGCCTGGCTGAGGAACTCTGTCTGTTAGCATCTGGGTGCGAGGGCACACCAGCGTAGACGACGGGCGCGACAACGACGAAGACAACGACGACTTCAGTGACGTCTCCTCCTCTGGGGATATTTCAGGAAAGACGAGGGAAGCACAAGTGTAAGAGCGAGGGAGCATTGGACCTCCATGAAGAAGAGACTGTGAGTGAATCTGCGTGTGAGTGACCGAAGTGCGAGCGAGTCTGAATGTGAGTAAGCCCGGGTATGATTGAATTTGAGTGTCAGTGAGTCTGAATACGAGTGGGTCTGAGTATGCGTGAATCTGCGTATGAGTGAGTCTGAATGGGCGTGAGTCTGGATGTGAGTAAGTCTGAGCGTGAGTGGGTCTGAGTATGAGCTTGATGAGAATGAGAGTCTGAGAATGAGTGAGTCTAAGTACGAGTGAGTTCGAGTATGAGTGAACCCCAGCAAGCCCCCCTGGGCGTGAGAGGATTAAAGCGCTTCCTCTCCCCAACCCCCTTCTTTCACTGAAGGGGTTTGCCCCCGGGGACGGCGGGTCCTTGGAGTGTCGAAGATGGCCTCGCGAGAAGGCAACAATCGCTGATGTGATTTTGGTGTTGGGCTTTTTGTTTGCCTCCGGGGGGAGGGGCTAAGTGACAACCCCTTCTTTGATCGATCTCTTCCAAGATGGCCCAAAGATGGCCCCGAATGCTCGCAAGTGTGCCCCACGAGGCGCCCAGGAGGCTCCAGGAGGCCCCCAAGAGGTGCCCAACAGGCTCCCAAGGGACCCCCAAGAGGCTTCCCCGAAGCACCTAAGACGCTCCAATAGGCCCCCGCGACCGCCAAGAGGCCTCCAAGACGCACAACGAGGCCTCCAAGAAACTACCAAGAGATATTCGAAGAGAGTCCGAGAGGCATCAACTGTTCCTCTTCCTCTTCCTTTTCCTCATCCGCCTGTTCCTCCCCTCCTCTTCCCTCCTCTCCATCCCCTTCCCCCTCCGAGTGCGAGTGCGTCTACGTGCAAGTGGGCCTGAGTGTGAGCATGATGAGTGCGAGTCTGAGTATACTTGATCAGCGCCTCGCCTGAAACATTCTCACAATCTGCTCTGCCAACAGAGAAGGTCCGGGGACGCCGAGACAAAAAAGCAGCTCCACAATGCGGGCGCGAACGGACCCGTGCAATACACCCTTGCGGCTCCCCCTTGTAGTGCTGAAACCAGCGCCTCGCCTCGTTCATCCTCACAGTCTGCTCCTACAGCAGAGGATGCCGAGCATACGGAAACCCAACAATCCGCGCGAGACGTCCTCACACTCTGGGCGCGCACGGGGCCCGTGAACCATCCCCCGGCGGCTCCCTCCCGGGAGTGCTGAAACCGGCGCCTCGGTCGGGGAATCCTCACAACCTGCCCCGACAGCAGAGGATGCTGAGCACGCATACGAGCCAACAGCCCGAAATAACCACACGATCTGGGCGCGAACGGGACTGTGCAAGATTCCCCCTGGCGGCTTTCGCGTGGGGTGCTGGAGCCAGCGCATCGCTGGGTACGTCCTCGTACTCACAGTCTGCTCTGTCAGAGGATGTTGAACACGCTAGCAAGAACACAACATAATACATCTCCACGATCTGGGCGCGAACGGACCCGTGACCTGATCCTGGACAGCCCTCCTTTGGGAGTGCTGAAACCAGCGCCTCGGTCGAGAAATCCTCGCACTCTGCTCCGCAAACAAAGGATGTTGAGCATGAAAACGGGAAAAACGCATGAGACATCCCCACAATCTGGGCGCGAACGGGCCTGTGCAGTACCCCCTGACGGCTCCCCCTTTTGGGGTGCTGAAACCAGCGCCTCGCTCGAGGCATCCTCACAGCCTGTCTACGTGAGCGATTCTTAGTATGAGCGAGTCTGAGTGAGGAAGTGACGTGGCTGAGCCGAAGGGAGGCAGAGAGGGCCAGAGTATGAGCGGGTCTGAGTATGAGCGGGCCTGACTAATTATGAGTAAGTCTGAGTGTGAGTGAGTCTGAGCAGGACTGAGTTTGAGAATGAGTGAGTCTGAGTGCGAGTGAGTCTGAGTTTGAGTGCGTGAGTTGATCTGAGTGTGAGTGACTCTGTTGGTGAGCGAGTCTGATTGAGGAGGGGGGAGGAGAGAAGGAAGGAGTAGGAGGCGTCGGAGTAATAACGAGAACCCCATATTAGGATCTGGGGAACACATGCTGACTTTCAGTATCCCACCAATCCTCTGGCCTCACGTGGTATAGAGGTTGTTGTCCGTCCCTCTTCCGAGGACCTGCTTTTTTCCGCTAGTGAGGAAGGGGCTAACCCTCTCCAGAATTACCCCTTCCCCGGGGTTCGTGGGGGGGGGCGGAAGCGCGAGGTGTCAGATGGCACCCGTGGTCCAACGTGGCTCCGATATTGCCCCCCGAGGCCCCAAGATGGCCTCCAAGGTGGATCAAGGCAACGGGAGATGGTTCATGGGGAACCAAAAAGTACCGATACCGCAACTCCCCAAACCTCTCCCGGGGAGCGTTCTGACCAGAATTTCGAGGCGCATCCAGCGGTGGCGACGAGGGCCCCCCAAGAGGCCAAAAAACGGGAAAACGAGCGAAGGGTAGGGGTATGGGTGCCTCTTCCTTCGCTGAGTTCATGGTAGCCTCGGACATATTCCTCGGGGAGGCTTCAAGACGGCTCTACACAAATGTATATGTGTATTATATGTGTATAACCCATGTTTCTGAGATGGCCCTGTATGTACCCCTAGTGTTACTCCTATATATACCCCATCTTTCGCTGGATCTATCTGTGACCGTCCCGCCCGAAACAGGGCGAACACGCCAAGGGCGAAACAATTGCAACTCTCGGATCTGAGAGGAGGCAGGGAAGATCAATGATGCTGCTGATGATGATGAGGATGAGGAGGATGCCGATGATGATGATGCTGATGCTGATGATGATGATGATGATGGTGGTGATGATGATGATGACGATGATGATGATGAAGATGAAGATGAAGATGAAGAAGATGATGATGATGATGCTGATGATGATGATGATGATGATGCTGATGCTGATGCTGATGCTGATGGTGATGATGATGATGATGATGATGATGATGATGATGATGATGATGATGATGATGATGATCATGATGATGATGCTGAGGCTGACGATGATGAAGAGGAGAACGAGGAACAGGAGGAGGAGGAGGAGGAGGAGGAGCAGGAGGAATCGAAGCGGGAGGAGCAGGACGGAAGACGAACACCGCGGCGGCGCTGGGCGCTCGACGGCATGTTCAGCAGCAGCTCCCGCACGGCCTCCTGCCCAATGCGCGCATCTCCTCCCCCCCGCTCTCGCCTGCCATGACCGGGACAACATCGGACCAGGACAGATCCCGGATCTCTGAGATCCAGCGGCCTGAACAGTGAATCTGGCGCCACGGCCGTCCTGGTCGAGAGCGTGCCAAAAAACGCTCTGGAAGGACTCCTCCTCGTCCGGCTCGACGTGAAGCAAATCGGGCTCCACATCGAGCCGCATCGCCGATGCATCGACGATGCGGAGCGATCCTCCGACCCCATTTACTCCGACCCCATCTGGGAGGCCCAGACACCCGCCCGAATGGGCCCGCACGAATTTAGGTCACTCCGGCAAAGGGCCACTCTTACGCGTAGCCGACCGGTGCTGGCCCCGGCCGAAGCAAGCAGGCTGCAGCCCACCACTGCACTGTGCCCAGCCGGGGCCCTCCCGGGCCCTGGCATGGCGCACGGGCCCTCCGTGGGCACGGCGCGGGTGGTGTGCACAGCTGCCCTTTGTGAATTTTTCTCCTCCTTCTCTTCCTCCTCCTCGCCCCTCGCTCCTGGACGTCCGCGCCTCCTCGCCCTCCCCTCCGCTCCCCCCCCCTCCGCTCCCGCCTGCCTTTCCTCCTCCTCCTCCTCGCCCCTCGCTCCTCGACATCCGCGCCTCCTCGCCCTCCCCTCCGCTCCCCCTCCTCCCTCCCGCCTGCCTCCTCCCTCCTCCTGTCGTGCCCCTCCTCCTCGCGAGCTGTTTCGTTCTCCCACCAGAAAGCCTTCCCTGGCCCGCCACCGGCTTGGACATCCCCCCCGAACTCCACCAGCTCTCTGGGCCCCCTGCAGAGGTCCCCCGCAACAGAAAATGGGAGGAGGAGGAGAAAAAGGAGGAGGAAAAGGACAAGGGAGAAGGTGAACGAGGAGGAGGAGGAGAAGGAAGAGGAGAAGGAGGAGGAAGAGGAAAAAGTGTAAAGGAGGAAGAGGAAGGGGAGGAGGAAGACAAGGAGGAGAGGAGGAGAAGGAGGAGGAGGAACTGAATGATGGGCAATATCCTGTTCCCCACCCCCTCCTCCTCCACATCTATCCCTTCTTCGTTCCTTCCTTCCTTCCTTCCTCCTTTCTCCTTCCTCTCCCTCCCTTCCCTTCGTCCCGCCTCGCCCCCTCCTGCTCCATTTGCCCCCCCCCCCCCCCCCCGCGCCAGAGCACGGGAGCCCGTGCACGGGAGATGGAGGCAGAGGGGGGAGATGGACGAAGGAGAGAAGGGAGAGGAGAAGAAGGAGAAGAGGCAGGGGAGGGAGGGAGAGGAAAAGAGGGTGAATAGGGACAGGAGGGAAAAGATAATAGAGGGAAGAGGGGAGGGGAGGGAGGGAGGGAGGTGATGGTTTTGGTTGTGGTGGTGGTGGCCCCGCGCGCGCGGCTAGACTGAAAGAGGAAAGTATCAGAAGCAGAAGGAGTAACAGTAGCAATCTAAACAAGTAGCAATAGTAGTAGAAGTAGTAGTAGTAGTAATCGTTGTACGACGCGTAGTAGTAGTCGTCGTCGTCGTCGTGGTGGTAGTATAGTAGTAGTAGTAGTAGTAGTAGTAGTAGTAGTAGTAGTAGTAGTAGTAGTAGTAGTACTAGTACTACTAGTAGTAGTAGTAGTAGTAGTAGTAGTAGTAGTAGTAGTAGTAGTAGTAGTAGTAGTGGTAGTGGTGGTAGTATTAGTAGTAGTACTGGTCGTAGTAGTAGTAGTAGTAGTAGTAGTAGTAGTAGTAGTAGTAGTGATAGTAGTCGTAGTCGTATTAGTATTAGTAGTAGTAGTAGTAGTAGTAGTAGTAGTCTTAGTCGTAGTAGTCGTAGTATGTCGTTATTGTAGTGGTACAGGTGGTAGTAGTAGTCGTGGTAGTAGTAGTAGTAGTAGTAGTAGTAGTAGTAGTAGTAGTAGTAGCCGTAGTAGCAGCAGTACTACTAGTAGTAGAACAAGTAGTAGTAATAGCAATAGAAGAAACAATGGTAGTAGTAATAATAGTCGTACAGAACTAGCAGTAAAAAGACAGTAGTAACCGTAGTAGTAGTAGTAGTAGTAGTAGTAGTAGTAACCGTACTAGTAGTAGTAATAACAAAAGTAACGGTAACAGTAGCAGTAGTAGTAGCAGTAGTAGTAATAGTAGTAGTAATAATTGTGGTATGACTAGTATTAGTAGTACTTGTAGTGGTAGCCGCAATAGCAGTAACCCGCAATTGGTAGTAGTAGCAGTCAAAGTAAGCGATGTAGTCGCAATATTCTTAGAAGTAATAGTAGTAGTACTAGTAGCAGTAGCAGTGGTGATAGTAGTAAAAATGATAGTAGTAGTGATCGTAGTAGGAGTGAATGATGCGGTAGTAAGGGTAATCGTAGCAGTAGTCGTAGTAGTAATAGTCGCCACAGTAGTAATAGTAGTAGTAGTAGTAGTAGTAGTAGTAGTAGTAGTTCGTAGTAGTAGTCGTATTCTTAGTAGTAGTAGTAGTGTAAGTAATCCTGGTAGTAGGAGTAGTAGGAGTAGGAGTAGTAGTATTAGTCGTAGTAGTAGTAGTAGTAGTAATGTTAGTAAAAGTGGTCATAGCAGCAGAAAAAGTAGTAGAAGTAGTAGTAGCGGTGGTAATAATAGTGGTCGTCGCCGTTGTCGTCGTACCCGTAGCCAGAGTGAGTAACATCGTAGTAGTAATACAAGTGGTCGTAATAATAGTAGTAGTAGTAGTAGTAGTAGTAGTAGTAATAGTAGTAGTAGTAGTAGTAGTAGTAGTAGCCCTGGTCGTAGTAGTAGTAGGAGTAGTAGGAGAGGTAGTAATAATAGTAACGTAGCAATAACGCTAGTTTTTTAAAAAAAAACATAAGAGCAGGAGTGGTAGTAGTACTGGTCGTAGTAGTAGGAGTACTAGTAGTAGTCCGAGTCATAATAGGTAATAATAGTGGTGGTACTAGTGGTACTTTTAGTAGTAGTCGTAATACTAGTAATAACAAGGCGTCGTCGTACAAGTAGTACGCGTAATCGAAGCAGTAATAACAATAGTAATAATACGGAACAATAAAAATAAAAATCGGAGACAAAGGTGCTGGTAAGTCGTGGTCGTAGTACTCATCGCAATCGTAGTCGTAGGGGAAACAAGGAAAGCTGGTCGTCGTCATACTAGCCGGTTGAAACAACGGTTGTGGTAAAAAAATAATCGTAGTACTCCTTGTGGTGAACGTGGCAAGGGTCTTTGCAGTAGTAGTGGTATTACTAATGGTCGTCGTCGCCGTAGCAGTAGTAGTAATAGTAATAGGAAGAATAAAATCAGTAGAACTAGTACTACTACTACTACTACTACTACTACTACTACTACTACTACTACTACTAGCACTAGTCGTCGTAGGAAACATCAAGCAGTAGTAGTTTCAGTAGTAGTAGTAGTAGTAGTAGTAGCAGTAGTCGTAGTGGTAGTCGCAATAGTAGCAATGGTAGTCGTACTACTAGTGAAAAAATGTGGTCGCAATCGTGGTGAAAATGAATATAACAACAGTAGTCGTCATATTCGTAGGAGCGTTCGCCGTTGTAGTAGTAATAGCCGTAGTAGTAGTCCTAGTAGTAGTAGTAGTAGTAGTAGTAGTAGTAGTAGTAGTAGTAGTAGTAGTAGTAGTAATGGTAGTAGTAACAGTGGTAGTATGGTAGTAGTAGTAGTAATATCGTAGTAGTAGTAGTAGCAGTAGTAGTAGTAGTAGTAGTAATAGTAAAAGAAGTAGTGGTAGTAGTAGAATTAATAATAATCAAATGGGCTCTGGTAGTACGAATGATAAGCATATATTTAGCAGTCGTAGTATGTCGTCATCGTCGTAGTAACAGTCGTGGTCGTAGTAGTAGTCATAGTAGTAGTCGTATCAGTAGTAGTAGAAGTAGTAGTCGTAGTCGTAGTAGTAGAAGAAGTAGGAGACGCAGTAATGGCAATTGTCGCAATACTGATGATACTTAAAGTAGTACTAGTTTTATTAATGATAGTAGTGGTAGTAGTAGTAGTAGTAGCAGTAGCAGTAGTAGTAGTAGTAGTAGTAGTAGTAGTAGTAGTAGTAGTGGTAATAGTAGTAGTAATGGTAGTAGTGGTAGTAGTAGTCGTGGTCGTAGTAGTAGCCGTAGTCGTAGTAGTGTTAGTAGTCGTAGCAATCGTGGTAGTAAAAGTAGTAGTAGTAGTAGTAGTAGTAGTAGTAGTAGTAGTAGTAGTAGTGGTCGTCGTAGTAGTAGTAGTAGTAGTAGTAGTAGTAATAGTACTAGTAGTAGTAGTGGTACTACTACTACTACTAGTCGTAGTACTAGTAGTCGTCGCAATCGTAATATCAATAATACTAATAATACTAATAGTACGAGTACTAGTACTAGTAGTAGTAGTAGTAGTAAAACTAGTAGTAGTAGTAGTAGTAGTAGTAGTAGTGATAGTAGTAGTGGTAGTGGTAGTAGTAGTAGTGGTAGTAGTAGTCGTAGTAGTAGTAGTAGTAATAGTACGAGTAGTAGTGATAGCAGTAGTAGTAGTAGTTAGTAGTAGTAGTACTAGTAGTAGTAGTAGTAGTAGTAGTAGTAGTAGTAGTAGTAGTAGTAGTCGTAGTCGTAGTAGTAGTAGTAGTAGTAGTAGTAGTAGTGTGCAATAGTAGTAGTAGTAGTAGCAGCAGCAGCAGCAGCAGTAGTAGTAGTAGTAGTAGTAGTAGTAGTATAGTAGTAGTAGTAGTACTAGTAGTAGTAGTAGTAGGTAGTAGGTGGTAGGTAGTAGGTAGTAGGTAGTAGTAGTAGTAGTAGTAGTAGTAGTAGTAGTAGTAGTAGTAGTAGTAGTAGTAGTAGTAGTAGTAGTGGCAGTAGTGGTGGTAGTAGTAGTAGTAGTAGTAGTAGTAGTGGTAGTGTAGTAGTAGTAGTACGTAGTAGTAGTAGTAGTAGTAGTAGTAGTAGTAGTAGTAGTAGTAGTAGTAGTAGTAGTAGTAGTAGTAGTAGTAGTAGTAGTAGTAGTAGTAGTAGTTAAGTAGGTAGTAGTAGTAGTAAGTAGTAGGCTTACCGG